ACACACACACACACACACACACACACACACACACACACACACACACACAGAAACATGACCCACCACATCTCGAGCTGAGTTTATTCATTCGAAGCTGCGGCTGGTAATGATGAATATTTTAAAGTGAAGCACTGGTAAAGGTCACACTCCAAAGTATTTCACACGACAAAAACAACAGATGAACTGCAAACCACTGCAAATAAACACTGATTCCTAAAATGTTGATCTGAATAATAAGATAAAATCTGATCGCTCCTATGAAAGTTAATGAAACAATAGCCTTGGGAACATAAGACCAGTCTAGATATAACTAACTGGGAACATAATGAATTGTTCACAGCCTGTGTTAAGATTTCAGAATAGTCAAAACAAACACTGACGATGGGCAAAGAACTGCTCTACACCAATAATAATCCTCATTCTCACCATCCTCATGCAAATCCAGCGACAGTGTTGTTGCTCACCCAGTATGAAGACAGGCATGAACGCCCCAGATGGAATGGGCATAGTGGTGGCCACGGCGGACATCCAGAACTGTAAGACAACAAACATGCAACTCTGTTCAGACAAGGCAACTCAGAACCATTAATAGCAAAGTGCAGCCTCTTCAATCTGTTAGAAACCACCTGTGGACCGCATGAAAAACACAGGCCAGCACAAACCAGGTGTGAGCATTCGGTCACAAAGCATGTGAGCGAGCTGTGTGACCGGCCTTCTGGACGTGACATGTGTTACTGTGGCGGAGGTTTGAGTCTGAACTTGTCATCGGTGTCACTATTCTCAGCTCGACAAGCTGTCCAAGCGCTCAGCGGTCAGGGAGAAAAAACAAGTCTCAATCCCGTCGTTCTCTTTCGAGAGCAAACAGGACAACAGATGTTTTTCTCTTCTCTTTGTTTTTCATTCTCGATGATGTGCAGGTCACCCCACTCAATACTAATCAGATTGCTTGTGTTTCACTGCAGCAGGAGAGACGTAAAGTCTCTGCGTCATTTAAAAGCTCTCGATGTCTCCGTTTGCATTCGAGTGGGAGAAAAACAAAAATCCTCCTATTTGGTCCCAACTTGACGAGTTACAGAAATGGAGAATCAGGAGGATCTGTCTGTGTGTGTGTGTGTGTGTGTGTGTGTGTGTGTGTGTCTGTGGTGGGGGAGGGGACTCAATCACCCTTGGGTGTCCTTGAGCAAGGCACTTAATCAGCAGCTGCTCCAGTAAAGCTGCAGAGGGTGGTGTGCATGTGTGGCTGTGAGACTGAGGACCGAGTGGGTGGAAAAGGAGCTAAACCTTCAAATGTCTCCAAACAATTTCTTTATTCCTCAGAATGGAACTTCAGAATAGCTCCCCTTAATAATACACTCTGTTCTTGGCTGCTCATCAGCGATAATGACTAGCTTTACTCAAGCTCTGGATTTGTTGTGTGTGTGTGTCTGTGTGTGTGTGTGTGTGTGTGTGTGTGTGT